GACTATGACATGTATATACATGTATGATAATGCGAATAGAATCGCCCAAGGCCAAACACCAGGACGACATCATCACAGGGTTCTTCTCTGAGACGATGATGAAGGATTGGGACAATGATGAGTCTTGGATGTCTAAGTGTTGCAGTCTTGTGACAGAAGCAGTTAGGTTGGAGGCCATCGCTATTAGGTTGGAGGCCATCGCTATTAGGTTGGAGGTCCTTGCTATTGGGTTAGAGGCCATCGCTATTAGGTTGGAGGCCATCGCTTTTTGATTGGAGGCCAACGCTATGCAACATGGCATGTTTGGCCAACTCAGGATGTGAACTTGCTCAAATGGAGACAAGAAACTGCGGAGACGGGGTTTGAGAAGACGCCTGCTGGCAACATGCAAATCAAGGACAGCTGGTTCAAGATGAGAGCTGGTTCTTGAGGCACTCCCTCCGCAGCATGTTGACAGATCCTTACATTCCCCCAAGCAACAGTTCGCAGCTCATGTTGACACGAATCGTAACCTCGTGGTTGGCGGGAGAAGCTACATTGTTGGCTTAGATGTTTGCTGAAGGAGCAGGAGTACTTTGACCATGCTGTACTGATGGTGGCGATGATCAAGGCTTTGACCTGTCATATTCCAACTACATGAATGCTTGAACCCACAATGAGAGCATTCAGCATTCAGCAAGGACTCGGTGAAACTTCAGGTGTATGAAGTTCCGGTTGTGTTTTCTTGTTGTCGGCGTTGTTAATGTCAACATCTTTGAACATCTTGTCCATTTTTGTGTTTATTATATTGTAAGATATTGTAAGTAGTTACAACGCTTTTATGCCTCTAGCCTCTAACATGTTATAACTTTTAACGATTCAACAATGTGCTGTGTGCTTACAATGTTTGTGTAAAGACAGCAGTGAACACCTTGGGTCGTCCCTCAACCGGTTGCAAAAGGCTGGTGTGGAGCTGGCATTCGAGGAGATGGTGAAGGCAGCTGGCTTCGTGCGTTCACGGTGGATTGAAATGGAAAAATGCAGGTGTTGGTTTTTATTTTACTACTATTTTCAGTATTTCTATATTATATATATATTGTTATACTGTAGATAGAATAATTGTTTGAACACTACTATTCTTTTCACCCATTTGGAGAGTATGCGGGTTGTGGAGTTCGTGGGCTTTGGAACATTCATGAGCGGTCTCATCCAACTCTGTGGATTTAATCAAGCTCCAGCTGGCTCTTTTTCGCGAAAGGAAAGGCTTGGCGAGTCTTGCGCTCTTTTGTTGAGTGATTTTTGTCCCCACAACGCATTTGTTTGCATATCAGTCACAGTCAGTTTTAGCATAGAAAATTCCAGGTTGCCATTGAATCTAGAATCTAGAACTTCGCCTTGCTGCTCGGAACTCACCGTCCCCACGGGTTCAGCAACTACGTCCCCACAGTTGTCAGTCCCGACTGACGGACTGGGTCGTAACCGGGCGGTGTCGACCTTTGCAGCATGGCAAGACCAACTTTAGCCGACCAACTTCACTCATGTCACTTCACCTTTGCGGACATCATGACATGATTGTGACATGGCTGTCACTCAGGTTGGAATGAAGCCTGAAAGTGCCTACTATGAATCCCTGCACGAGACTCCTCTCATTGCCAACACCATCGCAAGAAAGAGTCCTGGCGGAGCAAGAGTTCATCGTTTCGGATTCCTTGTGCTTTCCCGTCACATGGTCACCGTTGTTTCGGCATGGAACCAAAACGGACGGCGCTTTCTGTGTGAAAACGGTGACGTACGCCGCACGGTCATCTCCGAGCCTTTGAGGAAACTCTATGAAATGAACAAGGTGATCTCCGACACCGCCGAGTATGGCTGTTGGGATCTCAGGATGGGTGTTGGAATCAGGCTGTTTCAGCTCCAGAGGCCTTGAAATATCTTGAAATCAAAGGTCCATTTTTTTCAGTTCTTTTTTTTAGGTTCTTTTCTTTTTCCCAGAACTTGGAGCCAAGTCTGGTTCAATGTTGCTCATTACCTCATTGCCTTGCCGATAAGTGATAAGTGCCCATCGACTCAACTTGCACTGTGCACCTGTCTCCGGGAACGGACAAACCGACTTTAATCACTGAAGTAGCTTCTTGTTACTAGTAGCTTCTTGCTACTAATAGTAAGGCCAGGAGCCCCGTTCGTAGCGTCCTTGCTCCTAGTAGCGATGCCAGGAGCCCCTAGTAGCTTCTTGTTACTAGTTGATTGCACCTTTCTGGACGCTTGCACTTGATGGAGCAAGACAGCATGCGTAGCGGCGTAGCTGACCTCTGAGGCTATTTGTATACGCAGGCGTGCGTACCCCTCCTGAAGGTGCAGCAGAATCAGTCACACCTATCGTCTATCGTTGAGATATACAGCCAGTGCCGTTGGATGAGTGGCTTAAACACTGAAGTCTGCTTGTGCCGCAGGATTTCATGGCCAAGATAGACACTAGCGTCATTGGCTCCAAGTACAACAAAGGCCGGTAGGTACCGGGACTCTTGACCTCACCAGATGAACGTGAGGTAGTGTGCAGGCAGGCAGGCAGGCAGGCAGGCAGGCAGGCAGGGGTGAGTTTGGGCAATCGGCGGTAGTCTTGAGCTTGTATCGTGAAAAGACTTTGCCTCTTCTCGGAAACGGATTCATTGAGCATTGCTGATAAAGCTTAAGTGGATGCGCGTCCACTTACACAAAACAAATGTATGCCAACACCATCCTACGCGCCTTTGGACTATCCTCTCACTGACTCCTACCGAGGTGACAACGGTGTCGACAACCAGAAGCTCCTAGCGATCAATGAGGCCATCGCCTCTCACCCGGTGGAGGCGGGGCGAGCTCGGTTCGTTTTGTTCGCCATTCGGTTCAGAGTTCAGAGCGTGAAGCTCCAGCCTTCCTTTCTGCGGTCGGACCTGGTTGAAGCATGTAGAAACGATGGACTCCAGCAAGCCTGGTCTTTTTGTCCAGACACAGACACCTTTTTGTGATCAAGTAAGTAAGAAGCAGCAAAGAAGGACTTATTTAATGGAGCGTCGCCATCGAACTGCTCGAGAAACTGAATTTTCATGAAGTTTCATAGGAACAACATGTTTGCTGCGAAGTCCCAGTGCAACTGCAAAGCACATGCTTGCTAATGATTCCAAAAGAGCCACAGCATGCCTGCAGCTACAGCATGCGAAGCTGCCATGAATGTGCAGGTCGTTGGAAGGGAATTGAGAGGTCACATGACCGCCATGAAGAAGATCGCTGTGGGTGAATGAAAGCCCTTCTGAACGACCAGCCGAGAAAGGCCCGTTGAATATGGAACGTTTGTCGAGAAACACCCGCATGAGGACGAGGAGAAGAGTAGAGGAGAAAAAGACCAACGCCACGTCAAGGAACTTTCCCTGGTTTAGCATATGTCTTGATTGTATAGCAGGGATTGTGACACTGAGAGTCCATGCTTTGTAGGTGTCCTAGCTTGAAACAGTATTGACTCATGGATCATCATGGATCCTAACTTCAAGTTGCAGAGGCATCTTCTGGTTGGCCTACGCCAAAGTTGCGAGCCAATGCAGACAGCCGGCGGCTTACTGTCAGACCCTTAGATCGGAGGCAACACGACGCGGGAGGCAACACGACGACGGATGCCGTTGCAACACGGGCTGTCGCAATTGGCCATTTGCATTCTGTCGAGATATGTCGAGATAAGTTTCAGCTCGTTTCAGAGTGGATTCTTGGGACCAGGTTTGGTGCCCAAAGCGTTGTATACAACACATATAAATATATATTTATATATATATACACATACTATTTCAACATAACTTATTCTGGTTAGGATTACAGAGGCCAAATTGATCTATAGTAAATTGGGCCCGAATCCGAGAAGTTACAAAGTGCCTTTTCTTCCCTCCATGCGGCCGCCACAAAGCTCGAATCGTCGCAAGGTAGGGGGAGGCTCCACCTGGAGGGTGGCGAGCCAGCTAATGACGCTTTTTTTTCCATGCCCAGCCCAGCTGGGCGTAGAGATGAGGTCCAAGCCTCCAAGACTTGAGCCACTGAAACATAGTTGCAGGATGTTGTTGGTGGAGTGTTCTTTTAATTTGTGTCATATCTTTTCCATTCTTTTTTGGGTATCACTTTGACAGTTTCAAGATTCCTATTTCACAATGTCCGACTGGGCCGACTTAAAGAATCGACGACAGCAGAACATGTATTGATCAACTGCTGCACTTCTAAACTCTTGAGCATAGCAGGGCTCTGCCTTCGGGCGTCACAGCAGACCTTGCTCCGCTGTGGAACAAAAATCCGGGAAGGGACCGGATAGCTGCTGCGAGCTCCACTTGAGCTCGCAGCGGAGATCTCTTGTGAAGCTCCAGCTCTTCTGATTCCGCCAGAGTAATGATTAAGAATGATCAAGAGTCTAGTTTTGATATCTTTTGCTGTACAGAAGGTGCTGGTAGATTCTTGTGCGCGAACCGCAACATGGCTCCCCAGAACAAGTTTCAAGTGGCTAGAGAGCGATTGAACAAATCACTGGGTGCTTGGGAAAGTGTCTCGGCGGGCCCCCTTCAACGATTTCCATCGCCTTTCTACACACGTTGACAATTGAGGCTCATCTGTGCCAAGATTGAATCAACTGGTTGCAAATCTAAGACTTTGGCCCGTTTGCTTGCCAAAGCAAATGTGAGAATGGTTCAAGCATTTTCATGCCATGTCCCGGATGCCATGGTGTCCCGGATGCCATGTCCAGTGAACTTCTCATGAACTTCTCATGATATATCATGTATTGTGTTTTGAGTCCTGGACCCACGTCAGTGATCAAGGGTCTCAAGGTCGACCTCTCGTGGACAGAAACGTGTCAATGTCGATCATGTGGCTTGAGTAAATGGCTCGATGAGTCTTTCGCCCCTACTATATCGATATGGGATATCTTAAGTTAAATAAATTATCCACATAAACCCATCTCTACCTAAGATAACCTTGAAAGGCCGGACGTTTGCCGCTCGACTCGTGCCTGCGAGGAGTGGGACGAGCCCAGCTCGCTGGAAGAGGAGCCGGAGCGGCTCGAGCCGCTCGACCACAGTTGGACGAACCGCTGGTGCAAGCTGGTCCAACCGCTGTGACTATGACGAGTAGCGCCTGGAATGCTTTGTTTTCAAATATCTAAAGTAATAGTTTTTTTGGCCTGAAGAAGACACTGTTTGGCCTGAAGATGGAGTGTCTTCTTGACGTGTCTTCTTGACGAGTAGATTCTTGTGTTTTTTCAAGATCTTCAGGCCATCCAAGAAGACACTGTTGTTGCAGGAGAAGCTCTCGGACATGAAGGAGGAGGCCAGGCAGAGTGATGTTCCATGTTTCCTTTGTTTGAAATACGGCTACCATGTTTTTGCAATGCCTTGAATTCCCGAAAGTTCTGGCCCACATCCTCAAGCCACTCAGACTCAAGCCGGCGCTCATTTGACCTGGAGTGGACATCACCCGTTTGGCTTAGTTGCTTGCTGGTCCATCGGTGAGGGAATTCCCCAGTCCAGACACTGGAGCCAACAGCCCGTAGGGCGTGAAAACCGCATCGAACAGGGCTGGAAAACCGACACCACTGGGAGAAATCCAGTGACCGGGTCGCTAGGGGCTACTGAGTGATCACAGTACAGTAATATACAGTACTGTAATTATGATCATTATGTTTGATGATGCTCAATGGCAACGCAATCTGTGGGTGGACCTGGGATGCCAAGTCCCATAATCCTACTGGAGAGGGCTCACCTGGTGCCACGTAGCTAGGCTGGAACATGGGCGAAGCGAGTCTTTCGGTGTGTTGGGAGGCATTGACGACTGCCGACATTGCTAACCAGAGGTGATGAGACATTGGCCCAAGGTGGTCTTTACACCCCCCAAACTCCAACTCTCCGCTTGCCGCGACAAAGCTCGGTTCTTGTCGGTGACCACTGAATGCAGCAATGTTCACATCGTGTGGAGGTGCACCGTTTGCGCTTTGAGCGACAACGCTTGGCACCCCCGCCACACTTGCTGTACAGGGGTGTGAATCAGGTTTGATGTCCGGAAGCCGAATAGATCCTCAGACACCTCTCATAGAGTCAAAAGAGTGAGACTCTTTGAAAATGACCTTGCCACACAAATTCCAAGCGAATGACAAGAGTTTTGAGTGCCAAAGGATGCCAGCCTAGCATCAATTCTCCTAAAAAGGAAAGGCGTTGTGTTACTACAGCACATGCGTTTTTTTCTCAGATTTTTTTTTTTTGATTTTCTCCATGAGACAGGTGGAGCTGGGCAACAGCCTGAGGGCCAAACTGCGTGTGGTTGACACGCCCCAGGACTGGCATAGTCACAGCAAGGACATGTGGTCCCGTGAAAGAGGATGCATGTCAGGGATGATCCACAGGAAAGTCAAATCCTTCCAGCACCCCAAGATGAGAATCATCCTGCAGCGAAGTTCATGGACTTGATGCAAGAGATCAATATTCTTAAGCGTATCCGCTGCGAGCACACTACCGGTAGTGGATGCCCACCTGATGCCACTTGTTGCGATCTCCCCCATGAAGATTCTTCGTTGCCCGTTGGTTGATGCGTGTCGCAAGGTGCAAACCTAAGATCCGGCAGCATTGCGTTCAATCAAATCTCATTCTAGAAGTGCTTGAACCCTTAACCAGAATGCAACCAAACACAAAAACACCTTGTTGGAGTTTCAGAGGGCCTTTACGCTCCTGCCCTGGACACCAGGAACCCTTCAGTGAGCGCAAGAAGCTCCTGGAGGCCTTCGTTCTTGATCAAGGAAATCGATCATATCCTGCCCTTACACAATCGCTCAATGCCATTCTGAGTCTTTGTTGGTCCAAGGTACTGTTACAACACTTCGGAGCTGCGAGTCTTTCTCCATTTTTCTCCTGTGGCCAGTCTTTGCAGGTCGAAACAAGAACTAACAACAGAGCTACAAGGTGACACTCCATTTGGATCTAGTTGGTCCGTTGGTCAGGCCTCACAAGTTGTGCTTCTTCTTCCGAACAAACAAGAACGCAAGGCAGCTTTGAGGGCCTTGCTGAGCGAGAACCGAAAGCTTCAACAGGAACTGGAAGCCTCGGTCGGTGCCTTAAAAGCAGGTCGGCCACTCACACGGGGCAACATTCATCGTGGTCGTATGGAACAGGTGTGAATCACTCCCAGTGGAACAGGTTAGTTTTCCCATGGTTTTCTGGGGTTCACAGATAAATTCAAGTCCCAATCTTTGGCCAATTAGGCCAGTTTGGGAGAGGGCAAAAATTGGTGCTCGATTGAGGCGTCCAGGTAATTGGCCAAAACAATTGTCAAGTGTGGTTGGGTCGAAAAAGAAGCAGAAGGGCACAGGCAGTGACATCACTCATCATGCCGGTTAGGATGATCGATGATCAATGAAACCGATAGTAACATCATGTCAGCATAAGTCATTGACCATATATATATATATATATATGTATTAATACATACATATATATATAATCACATGAGTAATCATATGTAACGTATATATATATATAGATAGATAGACACACCATCTTTGCAACTGCGACTGGTGTGAAGGTGCAGAGCCGCAGCTCCGGCGAAAAGGCCGCCGGCCGCGACGTCCAGCGACGCCTTGGTCGCGCACGTCGCCGGGGCACGTCCGAAGCGTTGGACGTGGAGCTGGAACTGTGAAGCGAAGGAACACATTGATGTGGAACCATGTGGAACCATGTGAGACCTGCAAGAAAAAGCGACTTGGAGTCTTGCTGAGCCTTGCTGTCTCTGGACTGCCACATGTGGAATTTGTCTCAACCTGCGACAGACTATATACAAAGGTAAGTTTTTCGCAGCAGAACCTGCTGCCAACAGCATTTCCAGAACCTGCTGTCCTCCACATTTGGTAGTCCAAACAATGTCATGCTTTTGCCAGGCGGCGGGCAGCGGTGAGTCGCAGACCTAGGAGCTTGCGTGATGAGTCAGGTACACTTTGCACCTCTCCAGGTACACTTTTGCATCGTTTTTCTTTTTTCATGGTTTGCACTTTTGACAGTTCTTTTCCTGGCTAAGGCCCTCCAAAGCTCGCCTCGCATCAAGAGGCCTGAATCTGACGTCCATCAGTTCGGCGTTCAATCCGGCGGGTTTTGTAGCTTTCCAGTGTCAGCATGCCAATGCATAGCTTTGAGAGAGATTCAGAGATTGTGTTTCCTTTGGCTCCAGACAATTATTTGCACTCGCGTAGCTTTCAGCCAGAAACTTGAAGCCGAAGCCATGACCAAGCAGGATGTTGTGAAGGTTGCCCTTGTTGGTCTTGGACGGGCTGGACATTTCCACATGCAGTCGATCCTTCAGCTTCCAGGCTCCGTGTTTTTGGCATGGGTGGTTGATGTAGACACGGCCAAGGCTCAGCTCATTGCCGCAGAGAGAGGCTGCCGCTGGTCCACCGATTTGGACGAAGCGCTCCTCCCTGGGCCAGATGCCGTTGATGCGGTGATTGTGGCCTCAGCGACTGACACGCACTTCCCCTACATCATGAAGGCACTCCGTGCTGACAAGGCAGTTCTAGCAGAGAAGCCAATCTCCCATGAGTTGCATGAGGTGATGGAAGCAGTTCAACTGGCCAAGAGCCGAAACTTGGCTTTTGTTTGTGGCTACCAGCGACGTGCCGACCGCCACTTCCGAGAGTTGAAGCGACACTTGGATGCCGGAGCCATCGGGAATCTCAAGGTGCTCAAGACATGCAGCCGAGATAATCCCATCCCTCCGATGGAGTACCTCCGTACCAGTGGCGGAATTTTCCATGACATGCTCATCCATGACTTTGACATGCTTGATTTCCTCAGTGGAGGTCAAGTGCCTGAATCTGTGACTGCAATTGGTCACAGCTACAATCCAGAAATCAAAGCCATGGGTGATGTTGACACATGTGCTGTCATGTTCAAGTATCCAAGCGGCCTGATAGCTATGGTCGACACCAGCCGAGATGCCTCCTATGGCTACGACCAACGCATTGAGGCCTTTGGAGAGCATGGGATGCTGAGTGCGAAGAACGAGCTGACCAGCACTGTGGAGCTTGCCACGGCAGAGGGGCATTTGATGCCACCCGCCATGTACAGCTTTCCACAGCGCTATTTGCAGGCCTATCGTTCCGAGCTGACGGAATTCATTGAGCTCGTGCAGGCTGGATGTGACAGCCAGCTGCACCACTTGGAGCAAGAGGCGATGCTGAGACATCCCAACATCGTTCGCACCACCCTTGCAGCCGAGCTCTCATGGAAGCTGGGCAAGACCGTGGCCGTGGCAGAGGTGGGACAGCTCAAGGCTGAGGACGTCCAGATGTCCGACGCGGTGTCGACCAGTTCCGGCAGCGGAGAGCTGAAGGAGTTCTGGCGTACAGACTCAGCAGTGTCAGGTGCCTGAGTTGGGCAGAGGTGACCAAGATTCTCGGTGAGGCTGCTTTTGCTGGCAAAATGCCAAAGGCTGTGAGGTCGTGCAGCCTGGTTGCCCAAGTGAATCTTTGATCACATCTCTGCTCTGAATAGTTTATGCATGTTTATGCCTTTGAACTCTTTGAACATGTTTGTCTAATTCGTTGGTCGCGGAATTCGTCGATATCAAACCGGCCTTGGAAGAATCACCCTGGAGGTTTTTGAGCCTCTTAGGCTCGATCCCAGTGGTTCTTGAGGCTTCTTTGAGGCCTTTGGTATGACAACTGTTTGCATCCAATTCAAAGTGGGCATGTTATATAATTATTTGACATCAGTTCACTTTGCACGCACCACATCTATGCAAATACTCTTTTGGCGCGGCACCCTGGTGAAACGGCTTGGGGCCAAGGATGGCCAAGGCAAATCTTCTCAATGCGCAGATTTCGTTGCGCGGCTTCGGCCGGTCCTGATTCGCCGCAGCAAGCGATCTAGATTTCTCGGCCGCGGCAAGCAAGCAAGATCAAACAAGGCTTCGTGGGAGCAAACAAGGGTGTATTTCCTGTCCATTGCTTCATGTTCCAAATCGACAGCAGAGAATCCTTCAAATATTGCGAACAAATGTGAATCAATTCCTCACTCATCACGAAAGGTAGCTTGAGCTACCTGAGTTCTCCTTGCTTTAGCAAAAATGTATTACAATCAGGAGTTGGGATTGTGCATTGAGTTTGGTCCTGTAAGAGTTGATTCTGTTCGTCGGGGGGGGGCCCCCGTGGTGGGGAACTTTTAGACCAATGTGCCGCCAGGGCTCCTTAGCATACTTTTCATGCAAAACCATAAGACTCCCACAAACGACCAGCAAAGCAAATTGACCTAACAAAAAAGTAATTTGCACGAAACCATGACACACACAAAGCAAAACAATGCTTCATACTTTTTTAACCATGCAGCATCAAAAAGTACATACAGACGCAAACTTGTGATTTTTTACCTTGAAATGTTAACGTAAAAAACCACAAGTTTTGTAAAAGAACCTGGATAAAAAGGACAACATAGAACCAGACTCATCCTTACCAGAGCTCTCCCTGAAGGAAAAGAACATAGAAATCCTTTCTGCTAAATGGATACCGCTTCGTTTGATGTTTGTTTTTAAGCTGGTGACCTGGATTACCTGAACTTTGGATTACCTGAAACTTCACAATATGTTGCAAACAGGCGATTTGTAAACTATTTTAGTAGCACCACAAACGTATTTAATGCGAATGCGGGGGCGAAAAACATCAGGTTTTACGTTTCAGGAGAGGATAATACCTATTTGGATTTGAGTTCAGTAAGGTTGTTTGCAACTTTGCAAAATAACGATCGAACAAGACACCATTTCTTACGTCCATTAGGAGGCTTACGTGCCTTTATTCAACGATACAGAGCAACAGTAGGAGGTCAAATGGATCGAAATATTGTTGAATACAATAGACACTGTGAGTTGTATGTTAGAGACATGGATGACATAGAGATGTCAGCTAACCCAAGATGGGACGCTGACTTTCATGACTATGCTAATGGTTTGGATGTATTATTGCAGGCTACTACTGCTGGTGTTACTCCAACCCCCGGTGTAGTAACTGTATCCCCTGACGGTGATAAAAATGAATGGGGTAGAATAGATAAAAGATACAGTATACAAGACACTCATTGACAGGAATTCCCGGCGCTAATGGTAAAGCCCGATTCAGCCATAAGCTTGTTTGTGGGTTGATGCAATCAAACTATTATTTACCTTTGAGGTATGCGCCTTTGGAATTAGAATTCACAATTGTTAATGATGAATTGGTACCTATTGTAGAACCACAAGGAGGCGCAGTAGGAAACACGAACACTCAAACTGACAAACAGGGGTATTACTTTCAAGCAGCTAAC